GAGTCTAGAAAAATGGGGTGTTCCGGCGCTCCTCGCTTCACTTCCATTGATGCTGCAAATCGCATTAGTCCTTTTCTTTTATGGACTGTTGGATCTCTTATGGTCTCTCAATTTCATAGTCGCTGCAATTTGCACAGTCGCCACAGTCATCAGCGTATCAATTCCATTCCTCACCACCATCCTTCCCGCCTATTATCTTCTTAGATTCCCGTCCATGATCTACAAAGATGAAGTCCTTCTCTGTCCACACAAGTCTCCCCAAGCCTGGCTCTTTTACAGGTTAATCGCACTCTTTACTTGGAGCGGGAAACATCGCTTCGAAGACTGGGCATCGAGTGACTTGTACTTGCTTCGAAACCACACTCCCAATCGCCTCCATCATACCTTCCTCTTACGAGGTCTTCGGTGGATGGTCAAAACGTTTTGTGACAGTACTGTGATGGCAAACCACATATTCCATTGCTTTCAGAACCTCTCCGTTGATGTGGCGGCATTCGCCATAGGCAAGCCAGAAGAGCTCTCGCAAGATGCGATCTATTACCATTTTTTCCGGAACTCATCTTGGGACCCTGACATCGGCAAATTCCTAGCGGAGCTGTTCCTGAGACAGATCAACTCTCCCTCTCGTACTGATAAAGGAGTTGGAGATGCACTTGTCTCGTTTTGGAACTTGGCGGTGGTAGATTTTGTTGGAGATGGTCATGGTATGTTTCCTCAAACCGCATTGATCCTTTATTGATCTGTACAGGAGAGACCCCTCAAGTACATCTTGAATTTCTACGCCAGGCAATTGCAAGCATCAAAAGCTATTGCGCCGATAATCGTATTACTCTTCTCGACATGAACCCTCTCATGGTCGCCTGTAAAGAGCTCTGGAGACACTCTGATCTGGCTATACGACAGCAGTCTATCGGTATATTCGACGAATTTGGAGCTTGGATCTCTCGGACGAGCGAAGAGCTCCAGCGAGAGTTCGTCCCCAGCTTTGCTTCGTCGATTACGGAAATCATCTGCTCTGAGGATGAACGAGCGCCAAATTCAGCGCTCATTCTTTCGGAGAGAGGCCGTGCTTTTATTAGGTACCTGGATTGGCACCTTGTTGCTCATGAGATCGATATGGATCGGTACTCTCTTCAGGAGATGCCTATGTCCTGGCACGAATGTAAGATGAAAGTAATGAGGGTCTCAGGAATTTCAGCAGACTTTTTTGATACACCTAGCTTTGACTCGCATGCGATGCCCGTGCACACGAATACCGTCAGCGGTTCATTGTGTGCTAGTGATACCCATACAGTAGCATAAAGTAGCATAAAATCAGTGTATGTTTCCTTATAATACGTACTATACTATCATAGAGAGCAAAGCTTTAGTCCAAGTCCACCGATACTCTGGCTCTTCCACGGGTAACGGGGCCACGATGAGAATCTAACCCGAAAACAATGAACGAAAGTAATGACATATGTCGTGTGCAAACATGAGATTATTGGGTAAAAACATAATTGTAAGCACATACCTCGAGACTGTTCCAACTGTTGAATGACCTTTGTTACACGTACTGTATCTGCTTTAGCAGCTTCTGCAGCTTTTTGGACTTTTGAGGCGGCTCTATGGTGATTCTGAAGGATCAAGCGAGTGATGTTAATTTTCTCTTCGAGCAAACGTTGCTCAGCGGCCTGAAGACGTTCTTGAGCTTGAGAGATCTGCAACAAGTAGTATGCGTCTTCTTGGGATACATCAGTGGTTTCCTAGTATAGAGCTACAGGTAAGCACACATACTCCACCGATTATCCAGTTACCTACCAATATTTCTTGTATGTCACTCTTGATTAATTCGTCTGGAGTCATCTGTGAGCGGAGAAAGAAACGAGCTGGAGAGTTCATGAGTTATTTCAGGATTGCAGGAGTTGAAAGAAGTACATACGGTCCATGGAGTGCAGGTACAAGCAATAAAAAATTAACAATGAAACCAAGTGGCCTGGTGGTAAGGACGACCCTCATGGTCCAAATTTCCAAGCATAGCCGTGATGGCAGACTTGCCGTCTGGCTTCCGGCTGGTGGGAATACGTGAGCTGTACCGCCGCGGTCAGAGCCCAAACTCGAGGTGAAAGGAAAGGTATAAGAAGCGAGTGCATTATATAGACTATGCTAATATCACCGTCTTCCACTATTTTAGACAGACGAGAAATTGTAAAAAATAAACCTATTCTTAGGACCGGCAGATCAGGGACATCACGGCGGGCCTGGGAAGGAAGGACCATAAACGGGCGCCTAATATCCTCAGCTGCAACCACGATCACACGGAGCAAGGTTTTCAGTTGAGCCTATGAGCCTCACAAGTGCTCGGCGAATTTCGATTCAGGTAACTACAGGCCCCCTTGTTACTCGCAATCTGCAGTTCAGATCCTTGTACGCAACATGCTGGCTCTAAATGCCATGTTCACCTTCGTCGTCGTCAATTGGCTCAGCTTTCACTTTAACTGGAGCAATAACATTGCAGCCTCATCGTCACCGAAATTCTGTTTACAACAGTGCACCCTGAATGCCCTTATCAATTGTCTTGACGTGTTCACTGTTCCACCAGACTTCTACAACGAGTCTACCTATGCTGCAGCTCAACCAAGAGACGAAGAGAACGCGGCTTGGATGTCTGTCATCACTGCTATGTTGAATACAAATACAGCCGACTGCACTGATGTTGCTCTTCCCTCTCCATTGAAAAATATCTACGCCGTCACTTTATTCACTGATTTGGATACCAAAAAAGCTTTCTGTGTCTTCTCGGAGACAACTGCGTTAAGTAATAATACTTTTGCGAAAGGATGGGGTACAATGGTTGTACCTGCTTCAACCAAAGATATCTCTCGTCATATCCATCTCTCAGCTCCACATCCTCAGGCTGATATGCATACCCCTCAACAAGCTGGAGCGATGTTTACGCTTTCAGGAGCACATAGCTTGCTTATATCCGGAAGATTTCGTTCAGCTTATTCCTCACCAACAAATTGTACGCTTTCGGTGAATTCGAAAACAGTCTTTTACAAAACAGACCCTGCGCATGATGTGGTGTGTATAGTATACTCGCTAATGCACTATCTGAGCCTGCTAATCTATGCTCTCAGGACGAACCTTTCCATAGTGCTAATCGAATCATTCGAGAGTGGCAGAATGCAAATGGTGGATGTCCCTCAGAGACTTGTGCGTACGTGCAGATCCACGGTAAAGCTGCTTCAACCTGTAGAGAGAGTACCATTTTTGTCTCAAGTGGTCTTGGTAGGTCCAGTAGTTTTCTTCCTTCCCTTTAATCTGACTATTACCAGGTACCTCCGAATCGTCCCTGGCCTGGTACCGAAATCGCACACTCGACATCCCTGCTCGTAGGCTGCGCGATGAAGCGAAGGTCTTGTTCCCCACTTGGAATGTCTCCCTTCCATCAGATGATTCTTCATGTGGTTTGACTGCCACAACGAATGTATTTGGTCGATTACTCAATGGCGTTGCACATGCTAGTGTGTGTACAACGGAGGCTACTTCGGGCGGGGCCACGGGCGAGTTCATACATATTGAACAGGCTATTGTTTCTAGGGTCAGCGATGCTTATGAGCAATGGGGCGAGGTGCTTCGGAGGACGTTTAGGACTGAATGTGCTGAGGGAATGGTGGAAGATTATGCGAGAGGACTTTGCATATAAAAGTATTTACGCTTTGAGAAGCACAGACTCGTTATGTATGAACAACCGGAAAGCCAACAAGTGATTTGGAATCGTAATCTCTGCTTAATCTTAATCTGTCTGTCTACTATATGATATAGAGGAGCCTCACTCGCACGTGCGGGTCAAGATAGTAATCGGTTTTCGCTGTTTCAAAGACAAACATTTCCTGCCAAACTATTCCACGCCCGTTCTGTCATTCCTCCATCCTTCCTCCATCCTTCCCTTGACGGGTGTAAGCCCGAATGTCTCCCAAAACTCCCTCGAGTCCAATGCTCTACCAAGGGTCTCGTTGCTTCTCGGGAGAGCTCTGACGCCAGTTTCACGCATGAGTTGTTGGACCCAGGCGGCTTGAGGACCACGGTCTTCAATGTCTGGATTGCTAGCAGATGCTGCGTTGCTGTTTATATCTGCTAGGGCTGGAGCAGAAGGCCCAGAACCCCAAGCGGAAGCTAAATCCCACCAATCGTATACGCGTCCGTCAGTCAAGAGCCATCGCTGGCCGTTTGCCTTTGAAAAGTTACTGTGGACAGCGAGAATCGCTCGGGCGAGGTCGATGCCGTGAATCATATGTATACTTCCCTGTACAAAGTTAATGACGATAGGATTATATTGAGTTGAACGCACTTTTCCTTCAAGAATCTCCTTCGTTGGGGCAACCTTGCCAACCCATTTCTTCATGCTCCGATCTCCTCCATAGAGTCCAGCAAGATTAAGCACAGTTGTCGGAATCGCAGGAGCTAAAGCTAATAGCTCGTCCTCTGCATCTACGCGGTCGCCATGGTTGTACTGACTGTGTCGGTCATACCATCTGTTTGCAGCTGGTTTTGGAGGTTGTTGAGAAGTCTGAATTGGAGTTACAGTTTTACGAGGTTTGACTTCCTGCAAATGTCTACGAGTGAGAAGAATCAAACTTCAATCATTGAAGTCGTACGAACACCCCAAATCGACGTAGCTCCAAGCTGCACAAACGCCGCTTTCAATCCTTCATCTTCCCTGCTTTTTGTATACAGCCTAACAAGCTTGTCTGAAGCCCCAGGAACCGTTATCGGAAAGGTAATCAGCACCGTTTTCGCGTCGGGGAGAAGTTTGAATTTCTCAAGTTCTTCCTCATCCGAGTTATTTTGGTCAAAACTGAACATAATCGTGTCGTTAGTACCAGAGCGAGTTGTCGCAGCATATGAGATATGTTGAGAGCGACAGAGGGGAATAAGAAATGTGGACGTCCAGCCAGCACCGAGAATGAGGACGTTGATGGTCATTGCTGATAAAAGGTTGCAAAATAGGATGGTCATTCCAATGCGGGGAATCGAACCCCGGGCTGCTGTGTTTTTGATAAAGTCAGATGAAAGACAGCAATGTTAGCCACTACACCACATTGGAAGTTCTAATAGATCTCATACTTATAGCACTTGACTCTTCCGAATAGTAGTTTTCTATGCACGTACCTATTAGTACATGAGGCACTCTTTGTGACTGGAGCCACACCTCGTGCGCCCCCACATATCAGCATGTCAACCTCTAATTCAGACACGACGGAAACTGACACTAGAAACACCGATACCAAAGCTCCAATGTGTCGAGGTGAGCGTAGAAAGACCCAGCTTAGCTCTGATACTGGATATCGCGTGTAGTGACCGACTGTCAACTTCCCGTCGATATTGTCTTCGTCTCCAAGGACAAAGTTCGCCTAGGTATGCACAAAAAGAATCTCGAAGACTTTGGCGACGGGTTCCCGCCTCCGGACTGTGAATCTACTGAGGATGTACCCCCAGTCAAAACCTACAATGAGAATCTCTGCATAGATCTGAGGAAATCGATGAATTTCTGAAAAAAACTGATAAAATAACACATGCTAGAACTAGATTTCTTTTCGCCTGGCTTTCGTGCTTTCAAATCAAAGTTTTTTCAATCTAGTCGTCTTTACAAGTCTACGGACAGCCGAATCGCCTTCCAGCACTCTTCAGTCTCGTTTCTAACCACTTGGAGTTTTCTTTTCAAAATAGACAAGTCCAAGAGCCCGATAAATTCCGATATTCGGAAGCGAGCGGGTTTAGTGCCACGTACATCGTCCTGTTCCTTCGTCCACAACCACGATGATCCCGCCATCATACGACGTCGACCAAGCCACATACTAAACGCCTTTTCTATTCTTTTCGGCTCACAACCAAAGCAAATCGTCGAACTGGACTAGGGATAATATTGATATACCAGACCAACATTTCTTTAAGGGCGGTTTACAGTGAGTATTTTTTTCGCCTTACCTGCCGCCATCTACCCCTCTTTCAGCTATATCGAATACATCACTTGCTCTTTCAGAACACAATCGCGTCTTCATACCACTTCACAACTTCAGCGATACTTGTATGGTCTGACAATGCTACTGTGTATTAATTTGGATGCTTGAAGTTCTGGCTGGCTTGTGGTGCGTTCTTTTTCATTGCTATCATCTCCTTATCTGAATTAGCCTTAGTTTTATTGTTGTGGTTGCAAGCCTATCGTGGCCATCTCAACTTGACAACTACTGTGTGAGTTCCTTACGACTTCTTAGTGTAAACATGCTGATATTATGTCTGTATTCAGTGATGTCCAGCAACTGCGCATACAACCAATCCGCGAAAGGTGGTTCAATAGGGCTGGGTTGTACGTGTTCGTTTAGTTTATGTGACGCTCTACTAATTTCAGCATGACTGTCTCTAGATATTCGCTACACTACCGACGTGCGCCGCCTGTATCCACAATGCCGTCGTTTAACTTTCTGTTCTGCTACCACCATGTCTCCGCTATCCGCTATGCCACCAGCACGGTTCCACTGCTCTGCCAACGCTATAGGAGTACACAGCCAGTGTACAAGAAGTGGAGCGAATAGAGGGAGGCGGGAGCGTATAGAGGGAGGCGGGAGCGTATAGAGGGAGGTGAGAGCGTATAGAGGGAGGTGAGAGCGTATAGAGGGAGGTGAGAGCGTATAGAGGGAGGCGGGAGGGAGGCAGGATCTGTAGTTTCACGTCGTTTAACAGAAATTCACAGATACTGGCTGTAATTGTCGTAGTGTATAGATCTATTCCAGAAGTTATCAGATGAAACGCAGAAAAAACGACAATTAGATGCGAATTTTGGCAGGCATCTGCGTGATTACAGATTACTCAGATTTTCTCAGATTTTCTCGTTGTAGGTATTGACTGGGATGTACCCCTTGAAGAGGACGGGGTTGTTCTTGAGCTGCTTTTCCAGTTGATGCACAAGCAACCTCAGCCTGACCTGCGCACTGTCCCTTTTGATGCGTTGACGGGCTTGACGGAGGCTGCTCATAAATACATCGTTCACCATGCTTCCATGGCATGCAATCTTGCACTTGAGTGAGTATCTATAATAACGAAGCGTTCTCTCTACCAGAAACTCATATGATGATATCGGGACAACTCAGACACCATATCCCAAACAAACCATTCAAAGTTTTGAATCTAGCCAAGAGGTACGGATGGTCTGGATTGGAGAAGCAAGCATTCGAGTAAGTTTCAGCGACTGGGAACAAACATTGTGATAAGTACTGACGATCCTTACAGAACGGTTACGCTCAAGTGCCGACCAATTGCAATATTCGCATACGGTATTTCCGTCGACGATGCAGAGCTCTGTAGTGAATTCTTGCAGAAATCCATGCATGCGGACGCAGAAGTCTTCTTTGCTGCCTTGCAATATCATGAATGTCATCCTATCTTGGCGAACAGTGCTCTCGCGACTTGGGTATGTGCTATATCATGTTTACTCTTCCCGAAAGCGATGCTACCTTTGAATACCTTTGAACCAGGCACGACTGCAAAAACGCGTTCAAGCGAAGCTGCTGACTGTTCTGAACACTCCGCCTTCACTCATACACAAGGGTGGATTTCAGTACTGCGATGAATGGGAAGAATTTTTCGATATCGTCAAGGCGCATGTAGACAGTCATACATCATATGCAGCCTTCCAGGACATTGTTAACACAGAGAAGTATCGAGTTAGGAATTGTAGTTACTGTGAAAGGGTGATATCAACTTGGGACAGTCGGATGGAGGCAGCAGCAGCGACTGATCTCCAGACATACAAATCGTTGAAATATGCTTAAGCAGGTTTCTGAGTATGTACTTAGCAGTCTGGTAGACTAACCACATCGTTTTCTGAATTGGATTTGGTTGGCTATTGACCAGGGACCAGACGAGTGGCAGTACGGGGCGATGATGGGTAAGAGATATCTTTTCTTCGATGGTTTTGTATATTGGATGAGAATAATGTTCCATGCGACATTCAATGTTCAATAATCATAAAATCCCTTACCACTCTTCTTCCCTAACCAACCAGCATCGACCATCCTTCCTAGGAGAATACTCGGACGATACTTGGAATCACGAGTGCCCTCGTAAAGCGTTTCTTGTATTGCAAGACAGGTATCGAGGCCAATGCTGCAGATAGTAGGTTATTAAGATTGAGTGACGTCAGGAGAGAGAACTCACAAATCAGCTGAAGTGGACGGAAAGAGAGAAAGCAGAGTGGTAAGCGTGGTAAGCGCGGATACCTATTCGGTTGATTACACGAAAGCCTTACCAAGCTGCAACGGACCCATAGGATGTCCCATCCCAAGTCGGAGGGTCTTGTCAATATCGTCTCGTGTTGCAGTTCCCTGGATAGAAACGCGTTATTAGAAGTAGAGGGGTGGTATTATTATGACGTACCGATTCTAAACACATGATAGCCTGGAGAAAAGAGAAACAAGTGAGTTCGTCAGAAGCGAACTCGAAAGGTACTCACTTCGTTGAGGAATGGCATAAGCAATGCGTTTGAGACGAATCCGGGTACGTCTTTCGACGTTGTTACCTCTACAATAAGTAGCACATTAGTTCGATTACGGATTGAAACAGGCAAGCTCACGCACCCTTTCCACAAGCAGCTGCAAATGCCTTGGCGCGTTCAAGTGTAGCCTCTGATGTCTGCAATCCGGGTATCACTTCACATAGTTTCTAGTGGTTCCCGTGAGCAGATGTTCGATCGTGGTGGTTGGTTACACTCACCATTACCGGCACTGGGTTGAAGAAATGCACGCCAACGACTCTCCCAGCACAACTCTTTCCTTCCTCGCTAGCTCTGCTTACATTTTTACCTAGTCCATCCACGGCTGCTCCGGCCAACTTGGTAATCGAGATACTACTGGTATTGCTCGCCAACACTGCATCGTTCGACAGATTCCGAGCCAATGCACGGAATATTCCTTCCTTGATAGACACCCTCTCTGAAGCTGCTTCAATTACCATCTCCGTCCCACGTTCACCCAACTCGCGTGCCCAGTCATATTCATCTTTAGCAGATGATGAGTTTATAGAGATAATTCGTTCTCTAGTAGCTTTCGCATCTTCTTCGCTTATTCTTCCTTTCGACACATCCTTGGCGAGGAGCTTGTCCATGAATTCAAGACCTTTGGTGATTTGGGCTGGATTCTGGTCATAAAGAAGAACTTTGGGAATTCGGGCGCGTAGAGAGGCAACGAGAGCGATGCCGATGCCCATTTGGCCTGCACCAATGACGGAAATAGTACGTGGAAGGGCCATGGCTTGATTCCGAAGATAGCTCAGTTCTGGCTCAAGCCTCAGTTCAAAGTCTTCCAGTGACACGTGAATATCGCGACCTGATTAGATAAGCTAATTGAACTGTCACTAGATCCGAAGCAGACCAAGTGGTGGATGCGTATCAAATTTCAATGCCATGCCATGAACAATGGTACACTCGTCAACGAGGTAAGCGGATGAAGAGACATTTCGTTTTCTCCGACATCATTGACTCGCCAGTTAGTACTTTAGCTTTCAAGGATACTTAATCAGTAGAAGATAGACTGCCGGCCCCAGCTCATCGACTGACGGTCTGGCGCAGAAGTTTATGTGCGGACTTCATTATACGCGTAAAAAGATAGAGCTGTATGTTTATACTACTGATGTAGATAATAAAGGGGATTTTTCTGGGTTTCGCTCAGCGGGCGTGGTTGGACAGCTCAAAATGCGCGACGGAACAGGATGGAGTGATCTGACTGAGTAGTTTCCGGTTGTTCTATGAGTGTGTTTTACAGGAGGGTGAGTTGGTAGAACGCGAAACACCCCGAATATGTATGGAAGCCGGATAATGTTCTCATGTTATCGGCTGGCCTTCTCGTCAATTTTATTCCTACCTGCAGAGTATGGGCCACTTCGCAACCTCTCATGGAATAATCTACTTGAACCATAGCTGAGTTCAAGTTTGATCCCTTTACCGTTTTCGGAATGTGATATTTGACGCTTTGACCTATCTCACGAGCCGGTCCGGTAACCGTATCAAGCATTAACCCAAGATAATCTACTAATATATGCAACATAGGTCAACAG